TTTAAATACTCATTTCGATGAGTTTTGACAATTGTATACACATCCATGTAGCAATCAACCAGAGTAAGACATAGAACATTTCCATCACTCTAGAACATTACCTCTTGATATTTTCTAGTTATTCTACAATCCTGCCAGAGATAATATTTTTTATTTCTAGAACCATAGATTATATTTTCCTATTCATATAAATGAAATCATATAATATGTATTCTTTTGGGCTGCTTTCTCTCTACATTCTGTTTTTGTTTTATCCAGATTCTTGGAGCTTTCAGTAGTTCATTCTATTTTGTTGCTTATAAAACAATTTATCAAAAAAACCCTCAATTTATTCTCTTGTTGATGAAAAAAATATCAAGTACTCCTACAAATCAATAACGAAAAGACAAATAACCCAAATTATTATTTTTATGAATAAAGTTACTATGAAATTCTTTTGTATAACTTTCTTTAGCATATATTTTTATTTCTTTTGGTTAAATACCTAGGAGTACAATTGTTAAGTCATGGATAGATGTTCATAACTTTATAAGAAACTGCTAAACAGCTCTACAAAGTTGGACCATTTTACACATCCACCAACAATACACAAGAATTCTATTTGTTCTACTTCTTCATCGACATTTGGTATTGTCATCTTTATGATTTTAATTATACTAGGAGGTGTGAAGTGGTATTTCATTGTGGCTTTTTAATGTACCCGTTATCTAAGGGTGTTGAGCAACTTTTCATTTACTTATTGGCCAATTAATTGTACAAGTCCTCTTGTGAACTCTCCAATTCATTTGCTATTGTTTGAGCTGCCTGTTTGTTATTGATTTGTAGGAGTTTTTCAGAATTGAAGACCTTCATCAGATATGTGATTTGAGAATAACTTTTCCTGAACGTGGTTTGGTCTTTCATTTTCTTAATGGTGTTTTTAGATGAACATAATTTTAAAATTTGATGAAGTACAAGATCTGATCAATATTAACCATGGACTTCTCTAGTCTCAACTTCCAGCCATAGGGCATATTAGTCTAACTGTGTTGTTTGGATAATATCCAGGTTGGCAAAAAAGGAGGGTGAGGGATAGGAACATATGCATTTTTAAAGTCCTTCCGGACTAGATAAATTTTGTTGTCATTATCTGACCACAAGTCATCCTTCATTGAATGTTCTGTTACCCAATGAGCCTTTGTCCAACTTGTCTAGCTTTATAATCATCAATGCTTCTTATATTGCTAGTAGTCTGCTATAAGGCTTTCCATTACTATATATTTTCAAATCAGTGAGCAGGATTCCTATCACATATCAGAACCTGAAATGCAGCTGACTCAGAAAAGCTCCTCCTGATTTTCTCCAAAAGACTGAGATAGAGAGACCAAAAAAAAAGAAAGAAAAAAAAGAAATGTAGCAATGGCACAGCTTTAACAGAAAAGAGTTAAGTCCAATACATTATCAAGGTCAGTCACAAATCCATTCCGAACTACAGAACTCGAACTCCCTCCAGGATCCTAAAACAAAGCCAGGCAGATATTAGACACTCAAAACTTGTTGAATGAATGAAGCAGCCTTATAGTTCCGTGAGAAAATAGAAAAATAGTGGAAAAGAAAACATCAATCCAAGGTGAAATAGGGTGCCTTACTGTTCCCTGCAAGCTCGGGCAGCCACGTTCCAGGTGCTTTTCTGCTCTGTGATCAAGATGTGACAGTAGCCTGAGTGCCGGTGCCACCCAGTTGGGCAGGATTTGTCTTCCACAACCTGAAAAATAGTTGCCTGTGTTCACATAACAGTACTGTTTACAATTTAGAGTCTGCTCCCAGCATAAGGAACCCTCTTCAAGAGAGTAGCTTTGCCACCACAAAGGGAGTCAGCCCTAATCACAGTTCTCCACCTTGAGATATGCAATGGCTTCTTACAAAAAACACTACCACAGTCAGCAATGTTTCAATTTTACACTTTTTACATTCTGATAATTAAACAAAATAAGTGCACATCCTCTTAAATTGTGTTGATTTAACTATTAATAATACATTTTGTGATTTTGAAAAATAACACTTTGGGCCATTTTTCCCTCTGCGCCTTCAAGGTCTAACAAGGGCAGGCAGATATAGCAGGATTTGAGTCACACACCAGGCCATTCCCCCTTTTCTTAGCTTATATCACAGGGCACACTGCAAATAAAGGTGCTTGGCTACTCAACCTCTCTCCTACCTTGGTTTGGGGGCTCCAGGCTTTCCAGGCAGTCCCATTGCATTGATAGAGTTTTTGGGTGTTCTCTTCAAAATGGAAGAGCCCCTTTAATTCCAGAGTGCAATTCTTTGCAAATGAGGGCAACTGGTCCTATGGTAAGGAAAAGCAATTTAGAATTGACTTAATTTAAGTTGGTCATAAATTTACCTCCTTTGGGTCTTCATTTGTTGGGAAGCATTTGTGTTCAGTAAACTCTCCCCAAGCTTAGAGGCTATTTTGTGAATTAAGTGTGTTTATGACCCAGCAAACAGCCTGTTATAAGGTGAATAGGAAGGAAAGAAGATTTCCATACCTGTCTGGGGAAGTGTGAGTCAGTTGTGGATTCCACCTTATCTGCCTGAGGCAGATCTGCCACTTTGGTTGCCTTTTGTGGCTGACTAATGATGGATACTTTGGCCTTCCTTGTGTGAGTTGGGGAACTGTCATTCTCTAGTTTAAAGGAAACCATCCCATGATACTTGATGAAATCACCAACAACAATAAGGAAAAAACAAACACCAAGATAGCAAACAAAAAAAAAATTGTTGTAAAAATGAGCAATTCAAGTATTTGATCAAAGCAAAAAGATGCGAGAGGTTTTTTCTGACCACCCAAGCCTCTAATTTCAACATATTTTTAAAAGAAATATAAAAGATATAAAAGAATAGTTTCACTAAATATTTTGTACCCATAAACACAAGAAATTTAGCAGTTCTCTGACAATGCTTACATTGTAGATGGTGTCTGTTCCATTTCTATAAACAGAGGATGGAGGAACCTAAAATTAAGAGAGAACAAAATATGAACAAAATTGGCTTGAATAGTAATTAGCAATAGGGTAAAACCACGCTTCTAGTAAGACCTTATTAACATTTGAAAAATTTTAAAACATGTATTTCTTAAGATTTTCCATGCCCAAATCGTTGCAATTTCAAAAATCACTAGGTTTAATCACAATTTATGATTATTGTCTTGATTTATACATACATAGTACCAGTTAGGAAGAAAAGATACCTTTATGTTTTGAGTACATCTATAGTACACAGAGGTCCAAGAAAACACACACACACAGTCGTGAAGAGTGTGCCTGGTTAGAATGCTGTGCTAATAAGGTCAAAGCCATGGCTTCCACACCCCAGTGGATCACTTAATCTCACTCTGTTTCAGGGCCACTGGTCATTACCTATCTGTCTTCATCACAAAAGAAACTAAAGCAGAAATCATATGGATGAATCAGTATATCTTTCACCTCAATTAGTACAATTAATGAAGCGGGGCAGCCTCATGACCTTTGTATACAAAAGGCACTGCATAACTGTGTAAGGAACTCACTTACTATGAGAATCAAAACAACTGCTTCAGTGCTGCAGAATACTTATTAATATCTTTTGATTCTTTTAACGTATTCCACACATCGACTCCCAGCAAGTTCCCATCCTTACTGTTTTGCCATTCCCGCGAGTCCTAAGTTTCCTTTGAGAAAGATCTGTAGAATCAAAGCCCCGTAGGGTGTCTCCCCTGGTGACCGCTAACCACTTGGAAGATGGAAGAGGTCTTCTTTCCAGATGAAAAGAGCCAGAAGTGGTGGGTGAGGAAGACCCTGGGGGTAGCGGGCGCCAAATGCCCTTCTCCCATGTGTTGTTCTTGCTTTGGTTGAGGGAATATGAAGGATGGCACTGTCCTAGAGGCATGCAAGATGGCAGGCGGTCAGTTCATTTTACACAAACAGATAAGGGATCACATTGACACAGCTCCTGGAGCAGCTTGTCATTAAACTTAGATGGATGATTCTCCCACCAGATGTTGCCTTATTGCCATTTGCCAGGAACTCCTTTATTCTTCATCAGTTTCCAGCCAGGAAAGCTGTGCCTTCTGCACATCTACAGGGTGATTTCATAGTCATGAAATTGATTTCACAAACCCCAAATGAAAATCATTGTCACGATTTTATAATCATACCATATACTTGGGAAACGGCTTCACTTCTCTTCATATTACAGTGTATACCAGGTTTATTCACTGATCAACTATTACTCCACAAGCACTTCAAAGTGTTCATCAACTAGAGGTGGAAATTGGAATTGTTTAAAGATGTCACAGAATCAAGCAAGTTATAAAAATTTGCACTCAACTGTTATAGAACAAAGACCCAGTAAATCTTAACAGAGCTGCTTCTGTTGGAAACCTCATGGGTTAGTATTTCTGGGAAGGCATAAAAAAAAAAAATCTAAGGTCAGAACTCTTATCTGGATATTTTATATTTCATATGTCAAGTGTGTATTTTATGTACTTTGGGTACTTACTGTGAACAGAAAATTCTACTAGAAAATATATGAATTTGGTAAGGAAACGTAGTAGGGAGACATGTTGTGGACACACGGATATTATAAAGAAAAGAGGACAGTGCCCATGCTTATTAAAGGGTGACCAAAAGAAGAGAAGAGAATACATTCCAGGTAAGCAAAAAATATGGACCACATGCATGATGGGTGTGAAAATGAGGGTATAAGATTGAGTATGGTCCTGTCACTTGTCAAATGCTAAAAAGACAAGTAACTAGAAGACACTGGACAGAAAAAAAATCTGAGCACCAAAGACTTTGGCCGGTCTTTATTTTATTTAGTTCACAGGTTGTTCTTTAGCATTTACAGTCCAGGGCCTGTTTGGCTCTGCAGCCCAAAGTCATTCATTAATATTCTCCAGCTGCTCCTGAATCCCCAGGCCAGCTGCATCTTTCACATTTATTTTTCTCCAATTCCTTCCTCTCTTAGAATTTTCCTGGTCACACTACAGTGGGGGCTCGGGTTTTAGGCATTGAGAGCTCTCTTTAACAGAGGAAGATAATTACAGCTCCACAAACTCTGGGGGAAAATAATTATCCATAGATTCTCACCAACATTGTTTCCCCCTTGGTGAGAACAACAAACGAGTAGGAAAAAAACAACTATGGCACTGACTTGTTGCTTTTCTCAAGCGATAGTTCTTAGCAGGAGGAAAACCACATGAAGCAGAAACCAGAATAAAGGGCCTCCATCATGACCGAGGTTGCTTTCTTGACAAGAAATTAAGCATTTTGATTTGAAGGTGTTATCAAGCACGTTGGCCGTTGAAAGCAAGAGCTACAGCGCCAGGACTGCTCCTGATTTCAAGATGAGGATCAAAAGAATACCTCCTTTTGAGTCCAAAATTTTCACTGCAGCTTTTGTCTTTGTGCCAAGAACTGCATTCACAGGGGAGTTCAGAATTACTTCAAAGACCTCATCATCTTCCTCTAATCCGTCATAGGTAATTGCTATATTCCACATCTTAGTTGACATTCCTACAAGAAGTAAACATTTTAATTACTCTTTAATTGCTATTTCAATCACCTAGGTGTCAGAGAAATATATTAATTAACATGTCTACAGCTAGACTGCAGTAGCCTGAGTGAGCTATTGTACTGCTACCAACTCACTGAAGTCCTGCTGTTCTCCCAAATAATATGAAAAGACCACATTTGTTCCTGGACAATGATGATTCTGTTTAAATGCAAACACTGTAACAAAAAAGTAAGCTGCATTATGTAAGGGATGAAAAAAAAATGGTTAGTAGATGAGATCCAAGACAATTTTTTCCCCCAACCTGTCCCTTCTCTTCCTAAGAAAAAAGGAGTACTGCAATCCTTAAAACCTTAATAGTTTCAAAAATCTTAAGAGGTTGATGTAGACAGAAGTGATTATTGGATGGTACTTCATGCTATTCATGGAACGCTTGAAATGATTGATTCCTAAAGACAGCTGCCTGCACTGGCTGCCCCACTTCCTGAGATCCTTCTAGACACAAATGCTTTTTCTGATGATGTAACACACAGCAGTTTGATATCCTCCTAGAGAGAATTTATGGGCTGGGGGGGGTCTCGAAATAAACTGAGCCCTTTCCCTCCCCCTTTCCGTCTGCCTCTATTCATGGAGTTACAATCAAACTTGGTTCACAATAACTTTGCAAACTTAACACAAAACAGTTTTTATGTTACAAACATATCCCAGTCCTCCTGTCACCACCAAGATGGGAAGCAAAGCAACCCCCAGAAACACAAAATATTATATTAAGGCTGGAAGAAATTTCTAAGATTTTCTTATCCTGACCAGTTTCCATAATGTGTATTACAGGATATCCTCCAAGTTTATTTAGAAGAGAAAATGGTGACAGGAAGTAAAGAGAATACTGTTGAAGTGGAGAGAGAAGGCTCAAGTTTAAGGGGGAAAAAAGATAATAAACTCATGGTTTAACCTGTCACGGCTAAGTTTGAAAAGTTTACTCTACCATTTACTCATTGGCTATTTGAGTATTTTCTCCCTTAAACCCCTTTCTATAAGATAGTTAAACAATGTTTTCCGTAGCCTTCTCTTAAAAATATGTCTCTTTTTTTTCCTTGCAGATTGCCTTCTACAGCTTTATGCCTCTCAAATGTGCCATCCATATGATGCCTCTTTCTTGAAGGTAAGCATCACATAGATCTCATGATCAAAGTCTCATCAATCCCCAGAAGAATCCAATGGAAAGATAAAACTGTTCTCTTATACTATTCTTGGCTGGTTGCACTTAAAGGGAAAAATTAGGTGTATTTGGAATAATTTTATTTTAAAAAATAGTCTGACAGCTAATTTCTTAAGCTTTCGGTATCAACTGAGTTCTTAAATCAATTACTTTTGCAGTCTTTACAAAAACAGAAGTGAAGCATCTAATATAAAATACTATCTAATTCCCATCTCATGAGTGGATGAATCAATCCATCAAAATATATATTTTGTACTTATTATGTGCTTACCTGTGCACTAGATGCTATGGAGAATACCATAAGTGTAACGTAAGCCAAGCCCTGACCTAAAGGAATTTAAAATCTCTTGGAGGAGACAGACATAAATGCTAGAAAAGTCAAATAATCATTCAAAGCTATGCATGATTAGCTGCCAAAGAATAGAATCGATGGTTTGTCCTATATGTATGTGGGCTCCAGAGTAAGAAGGAGTAGGAGGAAGGATATGGGAAAAAAACATAAGCAAACGCAAGAAGATAGCAAAGTAGAGGCCTTGATCAGACAAGGGTGAGTGGATTAGCTGGATGGAATAGAGAGGGCACATTGGTGGACAGGAGGCCTTAAAGCTACAAAGACAGTTTGTAGTCAGACTGCAATGAGCCCTGGACACAAGGTGGCCAGATTCAGACTTTACACCGTAGGCAATGGGGAAGGCTCTTGAACAAAAAGCGACATACTGAAAGTGGAAGTTTTAGCAAAACAAACCTGAGAGTCTTACGTGAAATGATTTGGGGACCTGGTCAGATAGAGGGGAGAAATTGAGAGACCACATAGGCAGATGTTGCAATAAAATTGGCATGAAAAGATAAGAAGTAGATAATAAAGAAAGCAAATTGTTAGTATTTGGAGAACTGTGTTGACCATGAAAGACCATAAAAATAAGCATTATTTAAATAAAATCCAATACAAAAATTATTTCCAAGCCCTAACCAACTCCCTTCTTATTTTTAAGATTCATTTTTTAAAAATTATAGTACATCTCCCCCCCAAGTTTGCATTGGGCTTTATGAAGTAGAACCAGATGGTTACAGAAAATCTATTCTATTTCCTTTAAGTGCTTCTGATTTGTCTGCATTTCAGCTTTGTCTCTATGCCTACCAGGTGTGCACATAGGACCAACATTTTTAGGTTAATGAGATTGGAAGTAAGAACTTTATCATTTTTTCCTTCCTTTTCCACTTTCAAGGTGCAAAGTATTTGTTAAGTCCATGAGATATACAAACATTTTCAGAAGGCTTGAACTGACCCCCTGTTCCCACAAAACAAAAGGTGCTGAAGAGGAGACAGAAGGTGTCATTTTATGCAGAAATATCCCACATTACAGACTAGGTGAGTTCCTGGATATTTTCCAGCAAAGCAGATTTCTCTATTGAGAGACATTTTCTCAATATTTTTGAGTAAATGTCACATTAGAGATCTGTTCCCTTGGAAAACATTTTGACTCTTAAGAATGATGATGTTTCAATTAAGAACACAGCAAAGCTTTCAAGAACACATATTCTAAAGGAAAACAATCATTTTCTCAAGAGTATTTACATATTGGCTCAAGATTAATCACAATAGCTGAATGCAAAGTATTCAGTAGTTCTTTAGGTTTTTTTGGTTTTTTGTTTTGTTTTGTTTTTGGTTTGCTACAATAGCTGCAAGGCAAGCTTTCCTTTCCTTTCCAGCTCCCTCCCAAGAGTTCTCAAACCTTATAATATCCCACTGTCTTTGTCCACTCAATCGTGGAAGCTGCTGTTTATAAAGAAACGAATAGACTGTTCTGGACAAAAGATGTGGAGGACAACAGACCCAAAAGAGGTAAGGATTAATAATATGGAAGCAAATTAACATTTTCTTGACCTGTGGACATGGGGAACTTTATAATTTATAATTCTCTAAATCAAGACTTCAGTTTACAAAACTATTTTGAGCTTAATAAATTCCAAAATAATGAACAGCTTAGTGGTTTTTAAAAAAATGTTTAAGATATGCTTATATCATTTCTTAAAATATCTAAAATCATAAGAATATTTAGCTGTCCCAGAAGTCACTAGTATCCATCTACTCAAAACAGCATGTAAACTCTTCTAGACTCATGGGCACTTATCCAGTAGGATCGCCAAGAAGTAGATTTTAGAGCTTCCCGTAGTGTGAAACATTCTAGGAGTACCTGATGGGCTTCTCAGAACCTACTGGATCACACTTGATCTTGTAACAAACAGACCTCAAATAAGAAAGATGACATGTGGCAAAGAATCTCGACTTTCAAGAAATAGAAAGGTTGGAACTGCCTTAACATGAAGTACAAAAACGGCATAGTGCAAATGCATCAAACTGTTTCGTAGGAGGGATGACCAAAACACAAAGGCCTGTAGCACCGTGAGGGTAAACGTCAAATACACAGTAGGAATAACTCTTCCCACAAAGGGTGGGCAGCTGAGGAACAAACCTATCTGAGTTAGAAAGTTTATATCACAAAAAGGAGGCCAATAACAGTATTTGGGTTGTTGCACGTCAAATTGAAGGCTCACTGTTAGAGGCTGAACTGTGTCCTTCAAAAATTCGTATGTTGAAGTCTTAACCCCCAGTACTTCAGAATGTGACCTTATTTGGAAATAGAATAATTACAGGTGTAATTAGTGAACATGGGGTCTTAGTGGAGTGCTTTTAGAACACAGAACATCTCCTCTGCAGGAAAACACAAAGCCACAAGCCCTGTCTGCTTTTTTTTTTTTTTTTGCATTTGTATTTGTCCCCCCAACAAGTCATTCGAGTACATCCCAAACCATAGGAAAAGAGAGAGAACCATGCAGTGAGGTGAGGTAGTGCTACCTGCCCCATCTGCAGAAGCCAGGGAAAGACAGGGGGACTCCAGTCTCAGCTTTAGACATAATTCCCTAAAGGTGCATTAGTGCCTGGGGATTCTTTCTTCTTCTGCCTATTAGAATACTGCCTCCCCTGGGAAGCCTTCTAAGATTTTCCTTAGCCAGAATGGTTCATCCTTTGGGTCCTAATATTAGCAAGTATTTTCTTGTCTATGTTTCCCATACAACAGAACATCCTTGAGAGAAGGTGCCAGACTTTTGTATTCCTCTTTGCACCTAGAAAAATATTTCAACAAATTTAAAACAAAATAAGTGCTATTTAAGTAAATAATGTCTTCCCCTGAAATCTTCTCATATCAATCTATTTGAAGATGGATCATTTAGAAATACCGTTTAGGAATCCATATAAATATCGTGAAAATTTCCATAAAAAATATGAGGCAATTAAATTATTATAACTGTGTGTCAGACTTTTAAATAATTTTTAAATGCCCTTATTTTTTTCTGGATTTTTTAGAAGTTTAGATATAAAATATGTGATATTTTATATTCTATATTTGTTATGATCTTTCTTTTCATTTGAAATAAATATTCATTTGTTATTAAAAAAATGTATGAGGGCAAAACTTCAAACTCAAACTCATCTCTTTTGGAGATGATGTGGGTCCCTGATGAGTTTCTGGTTGGCTGAAGTTACATAGTATTCTGTCTTCTCCACAATATCCAGACTTGCTTACAAAAAACATGAAACAAAACTGTAGACACTAAACATACCTGGGTCAAACTGAATCAGTTTAGATGGAGTCACGGTGAAATCTTTTCCAACTGCAGCTGACACTTGGTTGACCTTAAGAGGGGAAAAAATGTCTTTTTTTAATAAAAATATTCTATAATAGAGAAACATCTATTCTCCCCCATACTAGACTAAACTCATGCTCTTAAATCTGTTTTTAATATTAGGTAGTTTTTTTTTATTATAATAAACCATTTTGGATTTTCCTTTAAGTTAACTTTTTGCTAGACTAATATCAATGGAAAGAAATGCTTTTTTTTCCTTCTCCCTTATAAATGATTCTATTATTGGAGAAAGTAGCATGAGTTTTAAACAATATTTTTCTTTTTATTATGAGTACAATTTTATTACCTTCCTTTAAGCCCAATTTGGTCTTAAAATAGTGCCTTTACAAAAAGGGAGGGAGAAAATTGAAGAGAAGAAAAAGCAGGCACTCCTGACAAGCCACGTGACGATCTGTCAGCCAGCTTTGACGCATCCTGTAAGCTCCAGGGCACCGGAGTCCTCTTGACCAAATTAACGCAAACAAGTCTGTTCCATTTTCCCACCTGGATGAAACCATCGCTCCTCGCAGACATGAAGGAGAGTTTTGTGGGACTGAAGACCTGGTGAACAGCCCCACAAAGGGAATCCACACCCAGCATCCAGGGCTTTCAAGGTTCTAGAGTAAGTTGTGGGGAAAAAAAAAATCACCCTAGTCTAAGGAGACTATTGGCTACAGCCCTGCTCCTCAGCTCCAGGACTAAAAATCAAGAGGTGATCCAAGGTCTCTGAAGTCATGGCCTTAAATTCCCCCCAGTGTGTGCCTACATATGTGTTAAGAAGTGCCCTTGGCTAATTTGAAGAAGTCATAGAATAAGAATCCAGTGGAAGCATGACAGGCAGTTGTTACTTTTGCACATTTTTATACGTTCCTTCTTACAAAGGAATATAGTGCCCAATTAAAAACTTCAGAATTGCTATTCTATGGCCTCAGACAATATGTTCATTTCAAATAAGAGGCCCTAACATGTATGAATTGGTCTGCAGTGGAGACGTATTGCTGAGGAAGGGTACTACCTCCCAGGCTCCTATTTGCTCAGTCTACAATGCCAGGCCTCCCCCGAACCACTTTTCATTGTGCAAAGGCAGCCCATTGTACACCTGTACCCACCATATGCTGGAAGTTACATTTCCCTGCATGGTTCTTGTACATACAATTACCTAGTATTTACCACCACTGAGTTTACAGAATCCTACGTAGGAAAAGCAATGGTCGGAGGCAAGGTGGTTGGAGAAATCAGTCAGGTGAAGGTACATGATTCAAACCAGGGCAAACCACACAGTGTAACAGTACCTTCTCTTTCCCTGCTCCTAGTAGCCAATAAGGTCTTACGTAAGATGGCAGTTTGTGCTTAGGGTAGAGTTGTCCTGAAAGACTCTGGGACCATGTTTGATGAAGGCCTGCACACTCAGCTGGCAGGTTCCCAGTACACATTCCGCATAATAGACATACGGTTCCATGTAACGCCATGTATGTTCTTTCTACCTGGCAAGGTGAGTGGTAGTGCGGCCCAAGACTCCAGACTAGAGCATATGGTGCTTTCTATGAGGATGAGAGGATTCTTAGAAAACCACCCAGGCAGATTCTTTCCCATTCCATATGTAATCCTCTGGGAAGTGATAGGGTATACCAAGCCTTCTGCTATTTAATTACAATAAAGCACCAACAGACCTGGGGAAAGGAGTCTATGTCCAGTAGAAAGATAAAATACTGAGTCTGGGTATGGTGGAATTTAGGTGTGCAGAGTTCTGAGGGTGATTTGAATTCATTACTAAAATGGAGACTTAACAGAGATGCCATTCTTCCCAGAAGCTAATATTAGTGACTTCTTCATCAGATTGAAAAGGGGAGTCTTTAAAACTCATTCTCCATCATTAGTACATACAAGCTTTTCATGCTCTCATTCTCTTGAAGTGCTATTATTATAATGACTCCTAAAAAGTCCTTCAATTCCAGGAGCCATAGGTTGTACTTCATAGTTCATGTTGACGGAAAGAAATAGTGAGTTGAATAGTTCAAAAAGGATTACCTGAAAATCCTTTATATTTCAAAGTGCCTGTATTAATATATGCTTTCTTAATTTTGAATGACTTGGACAATTCTTAAAATAGGTTTAAGTCTCCTGATTTGCCTCATTCACTGAGACCACAGAAAGTGATCAGGGGTGTGTATTAAGAGGAAGTGATTTGGAGACTGAAATTCACTCTGGGTACCCTACAAAGGTCTTGCATCCAACTTCTCTTTCCAGAGAAAAATTTAGCCCAATTTCACTAAGTTGCTTATATCTCTCTGTGAAATAAAACTTCAAAATTTAAGAGTTTATAGAGACAAATAATCAGATTTCAAAACTGAAAATGTGTTTTAAAGAATTGTATTTCAGGGTTAATGAACCCAGATGATGGATGGAGGGACAAGGAGATTTTGTACTTAGAATCTTCAGAAGAGCATGACATCCCTGCAGTTTGACATTTCCTTGGTCATTCTGAATTTTACTGGAAAGAAAAATCCAAGGCACTTAACCAGCAACATACGTTTTAGCTTGATAATTTGCATTTTAGAGTTGTTACCTTTATGCCCACAAAGGCCGAGTCCATAGAATATCCCCTTCTGGTAATTTCCAAGGGCAAAGTACCCACATTCTCACAGACCTCATATTCAGTCTGTGACCATTCAATATGAGACCACTTCAATTCCAAACTGTGCGTGAAATGAAAAGAAAAGGGAAATAATAAGAAATGCATAGTAAATGCCTGTAGAAATCCTCTATTGAGTAGGAGACTGAGCCACTTGTTCAAATCATGGTGGCAAAGGTGGTTGATCAACTTACACCAGTGACAGAAATTCCTTACACTTGTTTGGTACATTTTAGTTCACAAAGAATTTATACTAACATTGTCCTATTTGATCCTTACAACAACCCTGTGAGGTACACAGAGCAAGTATTAGAATTCTACTTTACAAATGAAGAGTCTAAGGTTAAAGGACTGCCGAAGTCCCACAGATATTATGACAGGGGGCTCGAAGTCCCACAGATATTATGACAGGGGGCTCAAGCTTGAGTGTTCTACAGGGAAAGAAACCAGCAGCTGTTAAGTTCAAGGAGACAATGATAAGTCATCTCCCATCTTGACTTTTGGCCTTCCTCATTAGTGCTATAAGAACTGTTCCAGACACATATCTCTGAACTTGGGTTCAGTTAACTAGTTATCCTTGAGAATGTGCCTAGAAATTAAAATGTACATGTGTTTTATAACTCTCTGTTCTTCTTTCATATAAAAGGGCTGTGCTAGTATGTACCTTGGATGCAACTATCCAACTGAATAAACTTGATAAATAGAGGGTGGCCTTTTTTCTACAATGCATTGAGTGAATCTAACATTTGAAGGAAATTGTCTTCTTTAATCCTCATCATCTAGAGAGGGACTTTATATTTTTTCAAAAAAAAAAAAAAGAAAAGGAAACCAAGCTTCAGAGAGATTAAATAACTAGCTCAAAGGCAAAAAGCTATGACAAAGCTAGTAGGTAACAGAGATGAAATTCAAGCCTAAATCTAACACCAAATCTATTCTTCTTCTTCCCTTTCTCTTCCCAACTGAAGTTCTTCATGACTCTTGTATGAGCGCAAGCAGGACAATACAACTTTATCTTTACCCCGAAATATTTCCTTTTTTGAAGTGAGAGCACTTAAAATGTTTCATCTAAACATTTCTCTCAGAGCCAGGCTATAAATTATATCATCATAACAGAAATTATATTTGGGCTGGTCTGAAGGTAGTGAGTTATCTCACTTGATCATTCACAGGCAGTTACAGATTGAACTCCTTGTTCTACTACTTAACCCCTCTCCTCACTACTGCACTTGACTAGTCTTAAAAAAAAAAA